CCAAGCAGTCACTGCAGGGTCAGCAATGACTGAGCGCAGATTAAAAAAAAAATAAAAAAAAAATGGGCCACACCTGTTAATATAGGAAGTCTGTATATCTATCTTCCAGAAGCCACAGCACCAAGGCCAGGGCAGAAAATTAATAATTGAACTAATAACTATTGATTAAAGTTGATTTCTTATAAAATAGGGTCCCAATCTCCCATCTATGCATACCAGCCTTTCTCTTTCACACACAGAAGACTCATACATATGTGCGTGCGTGCGCGCACACACACACACACACACACATCTTCCTTCCAGTGGGAAAGAAAAACAAAAAAAAAGAAGAAAAACAGGATGGAGATGGGAGGATGGGAAGGAATAGCTATACTGAAAAAGGAGGAAAGAGAAGACAAGGAGCAAAACAAAGGGAAGAGCTAAATGGACAAGATGGAAAGGAAAAAGAGAGTTCTTTTCAGGCATGAGAAAAAGGGTTACATTTCACTAGGCAAGCAGCCCCTCTGGAGTAATTGCTCAACTTCAAGATAATCTTCAAAGGTGTGCAAGGTCATTTGTCTCTTCTGCCCATTCCTGTTTTCAAAGGATTCTTTTATTCTTATCTTGTGTGAGAGTCTTCTTTTTATGTGAGTTGACTTCATCAATTCACAGATAATTATTTGAGGAAAAAAGACCCCAGGGTTCCAATACTTTGGAAGTGTTTTCTTCTATCTGTCCTGAATGTCCTGAGTTTAACTTCAGTAGAAAATCCTGCATTTTTGTATTATGACAGGGAAGAAAAATTCTCCCTATGCTTTTCCTAGTGCATGGATAATTTTAAATATGTCCATTATTCCCATCCCTGTTTTCCTGCTTACTTTCTGAACTTGAGATTTTTGCTGAATTCTACTTGTGCTAATACCATAGTTATCTTATGCACATAATCACATTTTCCCTTTCACCATTTTTCCTGTGTGTGATTGCTTACATATATATCAAACACAAACCAAATATTGTTTCATTCTCTGGTAGCATTGTATGCCCATTAGCAAAGCGCTGAAGGGTTTTGACCTTAGGACAAGTGCACTGTAGTTTAGTAGAAAATGCTAGAACACCAACACCAGCACAAGCTGATGAGTTTCTTTGTACCATAGACATAATCTTAAAGATACAGCGATGGCACAATTTGCCTTATTGATGTTCTTAGTGTGTACTACTTCAAGGGGCTCCTCCAACACTTTCAGTAACAATAGAATCGTTAGGCAGGGCTCTCATGCAATCCTCTGTCCAGGACAGGAATCCTCAGACCACCCCAGACAAATGGTTGCCCAACCTTTGTTTGAAAGCCTCCAATGCTGGAACATATGACTCCAGGAACCAGGTATCCTACTGCTTAAAGATCTCAAGACATTTCTTATTTTGAATTTGGATTTCCGTCTGTAAAGCTTCACCCATTGGTTCTTGTACTACCCTCAGAAGTTATGGAGAATAAATTCACACCGTCTTCCCTTCACTGTTTGAAAACAGCTAACAGGTGTCCCCTTAGCCTTCTTTTCTTAAGATAAGCATACCCAGTTCTTTCATAAGATTTAGCCTCCAGGCCTCTGACTTCTGTGCATGCTTCCATACCTTTCGTAGCTTCATTAATTCATTCAAAATGCCACAAGATGCATGCATAGAATATTCTTTCAGAAGAGTCAGAGCAGGCCTCAATGCAAAGTACTCACTAAGGCACTAGGAACAGCTCTAGTTCCTGGTTGATTAGATGTCTGATTTTTGAGTTTGGCAGACATAGAAATTGGATGACAGGATAGACAGATATTTACTGTATTTTTATGGCACTTGAAATAGCTGAGGAGAAAAGGCAAGTGAAGAACAAAAAGTAAAGGAAAACCTCATCATTTTACTAAGTAAGAAATATTAGGCAACAGAATTTTGATTAAGCTCAGAATGCAGGATGTAAGAAGAGAAAATTTATTCTATGGGCAAGGAGGGAAGGTATTTAAAGAATATGTCCAAATTTTGCAAAGTTAGATATAATGCTAGTGGTGAAGGCACCAGGCTAGAAGGCAGAAGACTGTGAGTTCTAGTCCTGCCTTAGGCATGAAAGCCAGCTGGCTGGCTTTGGGCCATTCACTCTTTCTCAGCCAAACTCACCTCACAGGGTTGTTGTTGTGGGGAAAATAGGAGGAGGAAAGAGTATTAGGTATGTTTGCCACCTTGAGCTATTCATACAAATAATAAAGGCGGGATAAAAAAAAAATCTAAATCTAAAAGAAATTGGGATAGAGAATATCCCCCATCTCTATCTCCTGTAATGGTTGAACTTGGGAGTCATCCCAGACATTTATTTGCTAGCAGATTCAGGACTGACTCAAACGCAATATTTTTTTGTGTGCAAAGCATATTTCATTTGTAGGATTGGCTGCCCAAGAAATCCTGATGGCCACCACAATTACTTTAAAAGAAGATTAGAAAATATTAAGAAAGGATAGTCTTTCAGAGATTGTTAGCTAATGGAATTTTCAAGTCTGGAGGAATCACAAAACTAAGTAACAATTGCAAGAGCATTAGGAGGGGCAGGTATTCTTACATATTGCCTAGAGGCTGCTGAGAAGATAAGAAAAGTCTGGTTGGATCAATCCAAAGTCTATATAGTTCAGCATTCTGTTTCCTAGCCAGTTCTATTTGGAAGCATAGAAGCTGGAAGGCGCAAATAAGAACAGTCCCCCCCAGCCATTAGTGTTTCTGTTAACTTGTTCAGACCCTGATTCTAGAGATAATAAATAGCACTCTTATGAGCAGGCAGGTGGAAGAACCATTTGGCCCTTACGTGACACAAGAAGCTGGGCTGAATGGATCTTTGCTTTGATCCGTGTGTGTGTGTGTGTGTGTGTCCGTGCGCACATGTGTGCATATTATGGAATCTGGAACAAGTCCCCTCCAGCTTCTCTGGTATGTTCCTCTAGCCTTTTGGCCTTTTTCAGTTCACCATTATGTTCTATTATAAGCTGTTATATTTCTCGCCTGTCCTCATTAAAGGACAATTAAAACATTATTTTCATCTTGCCCGCGTATTATTTATTTTCCTAAACTGAAAACTCCACCTGTCCTATTGACTTTTGCCCCACTAGTAAATAAAAGTTTTGTCAAGTTTTGTCAAGTTTTAATGATAAACACTAGTAGTCTAGTTCCATTTTGATCCAAATATCCCATTAAAAAAATCCCATTATATTATTTTTAAAAAGGATTTTCTGTTACTTAGAAGCTAAAAGCTTTAAAACACTATGTCATAAAATACAAATTCCAGTCATTTTATTTGTTTGTTTATTTTTTGCAGCAAAAGAGTTTTATGGCACCTTAAAGACTAATAAATATATTAACATGTAAGAATAAATGGATAGAAATTTGACATCACATATAACAATATCAAAAAATCTGTAAGATGAGATTTCCATTTGTCAGGACATTGTGCTACTGACCTCAAGGTAGCTATTCTTGGGAGAAAGAGTTACAAAGACCAATTTCATTGTAAGACAGCTGAACCAGAATACATAAGGAAATTTAACATCATTTCTGATGGACTGAAGAGAGACCATGTTTTTGAATTGTATGGCATGTGTTAATCATTCCATTAATGCAAGAATATATAGATCATATGCAAGAATATATGGATCACGTTTACTTACCATTTTGTTATAGTCACTATCTATAAGCAAGTTCCACCTCATCTCTCTTTTCTTTCTCTCCCAAAATCATGGAATGTACATATAGTGCTCCTTTTTCAGGACTGTGCTCTGCTCATCTGTTGGAGTGGATTGTGATCCATGTGCAAATGCAAATAGTAAATCAGGGAGGTAAATCTCAAAATGCTTGAGAAGCTTTCTCTGCAGTCTAATACATTCTACGTTCTAGGTCCTTTATCAAGAGCACTACATATCTATAAAAAGCATTTGTATAAGTGCACAGTGTCTCTTAAAGTAAAACATTTACAGTATGGATCCATACATTTAATGTATTTATACTCCTTTATTTTAAACAAATGTTTTTTGTAACTTTTTAATTTATAGTGTCCTTGATGAAGGACCTGGGGTTGGGCTACACAGTTAACTCTGCTCAGGCACTTTGAATCTTGCTTCTGCACCTGTCCTCCTGCCCTGCTAAGCAAACAGAGGATCTCTGTCATTCTTTCCTGGTCTCTTAGGAAATCCTTCGTTCTCACATATAGTGCAACTTTTCTCTTCAGAGCCCTGTGATTACATTTACATCTCAGAAGGGACAGAAGACTGGTACAAACTTGCATTCATGGAAAATGTAGGGAAATTATGAAAAGCATACTGTAGCTTATCGAAAAGAAAAAAGAGAAGCTGGTACCATTGCTTTCCAAAGACATTTCTCAGCAGATGCATGTTTGAACTAGTGCCTCAAGCCTTTTGCTATGTAGCACTGCAGGTGCTTAACAGAAGGAAGATTTACTGTGGTATAAACAGCCAAGGATGGAACCCTCCATTAAAACACAAACACAAATGGGCAAAATGAATTCTCACTCCAACACATGAAAGTTTATGTAGTTTTCAGGGAAATGCATTTCCTTAAAATGATTTCTAAGGATGCATTAGCACTGACACTTAAGTGATAGTTCACACTTCTGGATGGCTTTAGGACTGAATGCAGCTACCTCTCTTCTAATTGACAGTTGCTCAGAGTGCCTTTTTCAAAGGCAACATTCTGCGTTCTCATGCATAATACAAAAAAGAAGGGACCTCTATCCCTGCCTTTTTCTGCATGCACAGAAAAGAAGTTCAATGGTCATGTAATCCAGACTGATGCAGTTATACATCCTACAGCAGCAAAGAGCAGTTCATCAGCAATCTGAAAAAAATAAGCATGTCCTTATTTAGATTACCAGTTCTCTAAATCAGACGTAAAGGCAGTATATAACCCGCTGGGTTTGCATGACATACCAAACCATATTCTAGCCAGCCAAGTCTATTCTGTTGTGTGAACCCAATCCATGTAGTTATTATGATTTAGTATATCATGTAAATCCAGAAAAAGTGTTGAATAAACCTTAAGTTAAACAGAGATAAGTGTGTTATATGAATACAACCAATGCTTTCTAGTTGGCATCCATCACTGGGTCCACACATTAACTAAGTTTTGTTTGATTTTGGCTTAATGTATATTGCGAATCTAATTTTTGTGGCTTATTCATCAAACCATTATTAAGTAGACCATGGCTTAGGGTAATATGGGAACCCACACACTGATTTAGAACAGCCACTGATTTAATGAATGTTGGATTACAAACTGCTTGAAGCTGAGGTTCACATTTTTCAGTGTCATCTTGAGAGTGACATTTTTAAGTGAATAAGACCAGAATGAAGGTCTGGGAGAGGCTAGGACAAAACTGAACATAAATTAATTAAATAAGTCAAAACATTATTCTCCTTGTATCTGACAATTACCCCATTTTGTCACAGTAGAAATTACAATTTGCTAGCAACTTTTGTAGGAAATTGGAAGGTACATACAACCTCAAAGCAGCAAGCTGTGCACCCTAGTTTAATAAGACCGCCTACAGATAAAAAAGGGATCTATAAAAATGTTTCCGCAACTCCTTGCTAGTCCACACAAGAACATTATTGAGAAAACATCTCAAAGATTAGAGCGTTCATGTCTGTTGCCTGATGATTGTATCAGTGTTCCAGCTATGAGGTGCCTATAGAATTAGAAACCCAAGAAGCTGCATTATACTGGTTTGTGTTATAATCAATCAAGTTTAGTAACTTCTACTGGCAGCATCTCTCCACGTTTTGAGGTAGATTTTCTCAGTCTTACTTAGGGCCTTACCATGAGCTTGTCCATTAAGCTAGAAATCTCTCCTGCTGCTGGCCTTCCAGATATTGTTGAACTTCAGTTCCCACCAGCTAAAGCCAGCATGGTAATGGTGGTGGATGAGCATCAGTTCTCCATCCCTGCTTTAGTGAATCAAAAGAAATGTAAAATTTAATAGTTAGTCATATTAAGCTGCTGTCTTTGAAACCTGGCTTACAGGCCAGGAACAACTTAACCAGATGCCTGAGTCTGCAGAGACACAAAAATTCAAATAGAAAGGGACAGTGGTGAGAAAGAAAGGATTGTTATTATAAATAAGGGGTAAGTTAGAAGTGCCCAATTATTACATTAAGCGCACTTCATCAAACTGAACTTGGTGCAGTCCTTTGATTGTTACATTTGTTACCTTAGGCTAGAATCTTTGTAAAACCAAAAAGAATTAAAGTCCTGGGCCCACTTCCAAGCCAGATGAATCTTTATATTGACCTGTAAACAATTGCAGTTTGAAGTAAACAATCACTATTGATAGCTTAGAACAATGCCTTGAGAGAGTTGCCTATATTTACCCATGAAAACAACTCCCCTGAGTCAAGTCAATTAACTGGAAATTCCTAAGTTAAAAAATATATTTTTCTATAATGTGAGAATCATTAGTGACCTGCTCCCACCATAGAACTGTGCCAATGTATAGCCTTTGGAAAAACATTCATATAGTGCAGAAACTTCAATCAGGGGGAAGTCTTTTCAAGTGAAAGTCTTCTTTTGGGGTAACTCGGAGTAGAGTACTGTTAAACTTGGCCTGGTAAGAATGTAATCCCTGCAGTGAAGTTCATTTTTGTTCAGTGGTGCCACATTCACTCTTAATTTTCTCCCCTCCCCTCCCCTCCAATAAAAAGAGAAAAAGGAACAGCAAAAACAAGGCATTTTCTATTGGGGTACCCAGGAATTTCCTTCCCAGGTAAATTTGCTGACCTAACTTTATTCAGCTTCTGGATGGTGATAAAATCTGTTTTATTTCAAAGTGCTTTGATCATTTTTTTACTGCAGTGGATCAAGTACTAAATTGTATATTATTGTGTATGTGTTTTCATCTTGTTCATAATATCTGGATTATTTGGGGGATATTTTTCTTATAGTGTTGAAAGGAATCTTGTTTGTTAGACAGCTTATTCCTTCTCAGTGGAACAGCAGAGTTCAAATATTTGTAAGCCAGTATGTGGATAAAATACCTAATATAACAATAAAAAAAAATCAGAAGTAACAGCCAGTAAGTATTCAATGAGTTTACCATATCAACAAATAGTTAATTTAACTTGAATCAATCTGATTTAATTTTACACAGAAATGTATTAGCATTTTGATGGCTCTAATAAAAAGACATCATTGTACAGAAGGTTAAAATTGAAGTTAAGGGATTTAATTTAACAAATGCTTATCTAATGTTTAAATGTAATCTACACAATCTAAATAGTAATAAGGGATAAGCAAGGTTTCCCAATCAAAATTCCACTTTGCTTTTAATTTTAATTTTTCAACAGGCTTGGTGGGTGTAGAAGTCATACAGTGATATCACTGAAAGGTGCTAGCTATTTTTTTTCTTTCATAATTTAAACCTTCCAGAGTCTTAATGCCTAACATAATTACATTCCACTTAAACATTTTATGGTAAAGCAAAACAAAAATCCCAACAATAAATTGTGCTATTAGAACTGGAAATAATCTTAGAGAGCTCTGGATGGGAAACAATAATGGGACCAAGCATTGGGCAAAGGTTGGTTTATACATCTCTTCTTTGAAACACCTCTAGAGACCCATTAGAATTAGCCTAAGTAATCTTACCTAAAGAGAGCCAGTCTGGTCTAGTGATTCAGGCACCAGGCTAGAAACCAGGAGACTGCGAGTTCTAGTTCCACCTTAGGCACAAAGCCAGCTGGATGACCCTGGGCCGGTCACTCTCTCTCAGCCCTCAGAAGAAGGCAAACCACTTCTGAAATCTTGCCAAGAAAACTTCAGGGACTTGACAAGGAAGTTGCCAGGAGTCAAAAAACTGACTCGAAGTAACGGGGGGGAAAAGTACCTTATTACTCATTATTTGTTGCCTTTATGCTCCACCTTTCCTCTGGGAACTCATGCTGCACACAAAGGGCTCCCTCCTCCAATCTTTTCCCAGAACAACCACTTGACGGGGTAGACTATGCTAAGAGAGAGTAACTCTCTTTTTCTTGGCCCAGTGACTGAGGGGGATTTAAACCTGGGTCTCCCCAGTTCTAGTCCAGCACCGGAACCACAATATCATACTCTTCACCCAGAATTCAAACCATGTTTTATTGTACAAGATTACATTGATGCAATAATCCGTATACTCTCACAAGCAGGAATTTTTAGAATATGGACTTAAAACAACAGTCCTTTAGTATGATCATATTAGCATACTAAAGGACTGTAAGTGGTTTTGTTTAATAAAACAAAGACTACTAATATTCTATGTCACACAAGAACAATCATCATCATTATTACTACTTAAGTCAGTTCCATTTATGTGCTCCCAATTTCAAAACAGGAGTATATTCTTGTACACATTTGTTGCCCAATGTTGCCTGATTTTTTACTCCTATATACTGGATTCAATAGGACACAATGAGATCTAAAGTAAAACAGAAGTAACTTAGTTACTGCTATCAATATATACAATAGTCATTTTTGCCCTATTTATTCCAGTACAGATTTTCATGGTAGGATTAGTTAGCTTATGGAATACTTCGGAGCCTGGTGTTTTAGATAAGAGTTGGAATCAAGGATTTGTCCCTTTCTTCTACTGGATAAGTTATTCAGTGATAGCCCTACAATGCAGTCATACTTGATTGCAAGGAATGTACTCATATCCAGTGCCAGGTCGTAAGGTTGAGACATTTTCTTTTGGTTGTTCCTAACAAACTGGTTTCTATTGTTTTTCTTTCTGCCATAGCCATTACCCAAACAGAAATAATTTCAGCTTAATCTGCATGCATCATGATAGTTATGAGCATGACTCCAGTACCACTGAGCTGATGGAAGCACCATTCACTCACTGCTCAAGTTATGGGGAGGGGTGCTTACTGACATTCATGGGCTTCACTATCTCATTTGCATCAGTTTAACCTTCCAAAATCAGTTGTTTTAATGTTCAGTATGTAAGGTAAAAGAGTCTGTAGTATATGTTGAGTCAGATCCCAGACATCGGTACCAAGGAGTGCAGGCTTTGGTTCCCCTAATTCTTCAGACAGGAGTTGAAGTACATACCTATCTGGAGGACCTTCTGAATTGTTATCATCATCATTGCATCTTTCTGCTCAAAGGGCACTCAAGCTAATTCTGCTCCATTGGTTTTAATATAACATTGAGCAAGAACCAGAAATCAGGATTGCAGAGCAAAGTAAGGATACAAGAGCATACAAAAAAATTCAAGAAAAGCTTTGTTCTTCAAACAAAATTCAATGGGCACCCAAAGTCTTATAGTTCTTTCTCTCCAGGAAGCTTTATTAACCTTGAGGAGCAGAGGTCTAAAAGTCTTTCTTCCTTCAATTCAGTGACTCACCACATGGGGCAGATCTCAGCAGCTCTTGACAGTGTAGCCCCCCATTTCTGCCCACCATCATTTAGGCAATGGGACCATTCCTTGCCAACACCATGCAATGAATGTTTTTCCCCAAGCAAAAGTGTGCAAGGCTTTAGTGCAATTGCAGGACAAGAGTGTCTTCTACCATGTACTTTCTGATCTTGATTTCGGCTTCAACTTTCTCAGCATCACATGCACCAAAATGTTCCAAATCTACCTTCCCCAACCTAATTACTTTGAAATTGAACCCTAAGGAATTGGGATTGGGGTGGGAGGGCACCAGGTTGTGGAATACATATTCTCAAAGGTCATGTCTGTACTCATCTCTAAAGCACAAACTCCTCTTTTTTCCTTGGCTTGATCTGAACAGGATTACCAGATGTCTCCTATTTCACTCACTGATGAACTACAAGGAGGGTTGGGGAAGAGAGATTCCAAACAAGGATTCTCATGTGAAATGAGAGATGTCACATTTCATGCCTGTAGACAACTCACCCACTTACCTGGAACCCTCCATTATGGCTTTGTGTGGACTAGTTGCTGTATTAAAGGAGTAAATATGTAAGATTTTAGTTGATCAGATATTCATGACAATATTGCAGAACTGACCCTGGTATTGAAAACATTCACCAGGGCTGATCTCTGGCATTCCAGGTGAAACCTGTGACTCTAAATTTCTTCTTTGTAATGCTGTTACAGAGACCCAGTCTGGTGTAGCGGTTAAGGCATCAGGCTAGAAACCAGGAGACCCTGAGCTCTAGTCCCACCTTAGGCACAAAGCCAGCTGGGTGACCTTGGGCCAGTCACACTTTCTCAGCCCTGGGAAGCAGGCAATGGCAAACCACTTCAGAGGAACCTTGCCAAGAAAACTACAGGGACTTGTAAAGGCAGTCACCAAGAGTCAAAACTGACTCAAAAGCACCCCCTCCCCCCCAAAAGCTGTTAATGGATAAATGTTGCCTGAGATTGCCTGTCTTTCAGCAGCCTTCGTGTGCTGTACCCCAACCACCCTTTCAATCTTACAACAACCCTGGGAGGTAGGATAAGTTAACAAGTAGCGACTTGCCAAATACGAAATATGTTATAACGGAGCAGTAACCGCAAGCTGAGTATTCTTTTACCGTCCGGCTTTCCACTCATGTGATCAAGCCGGAAAGAGAATACAGTAGTGAAACCTGGGCTAAAAATCTGAAAGGATGAAGGAAAGAAATACGAGATTGCAAACACGCTGAGGGGCAACCCTGGATTCTCTGTGTCTCTCTCACACGCTTTCGTTTCCCATGCAAAACGTCACGATTCTCTCGGGCCGGGCCGGCCGGGCCGGGCGGACGGCAGAAAAGGAGACGAAAGCCTCCGGGCAGGCTAGACCGGAGACGGCGTCTCGTGCCAGGGGCCTCGTGCCTCCAGCTCTTGAATTCGAGGGGGAGTCGAGAGGTCGGGAGAAGTCACGTTCCACCCTCATGCGGAGGAAAAAGAAAGTCCCTGCTGGGCTTCCTAACCCCCCCCCCCCCCCC